TTTTCTGGGTATCCAACCGTTGGCGCATTCGCAGTTTCGTTAGCTTCATAAGCAGTTTTTTTCTTAATATATCTGAAGAGGGAGGTATGGTTCAGATTATAACTCGAAGCCGCGTCACGGAGACTTTTATGTCGCAAGGTTACTTCTTCTGCTGCGAGATCATATATTTCGCGACTCGCCATACCCCTATCAGTCTTTCGTTTATAGTAGGCATGCTGAAACAAAATTACCTAATTAAAACAACAAAAATAAAATTCATATAAAATTGAAAACGAGGAGAGTTGAAACAGCCTGTTTCAAATCTCCTCAGTAAGAAAAAACCTCCCAAGTTTTATTAAATCTATGATTAAGAAGAAAATACACAGAAATCAATTGTACTAAATATATATAACAAATCATTACTTAATGAGCTTTCGAAACATATATAACTTAAACCAAAATACAAAACCCTTAACAAAATATAGGCATCGTAAAAATACGTTAAAAACTTACTTTTCACGATTTTTGTCACTTAGCACACAAAACTCCACAACCGCGCGACTGACGCGACGGACGCGCACTGACATGTTCGCGGGAGAAGGGAAGTTGGTGTAAAGCGACGTTGCCAGCTCGCTAACGGTTTTGAGTTCCAAGAAATCTGTACTGTTTCAAATCACCTTTGTTTCAAATGCCCTCGGTCTCCCTGGCAAACGGAAACTTGATTTTGAAGGCGATTACAGATGTTTGCCGTTATTATATTAAATAACAATGAAGATAACGGGTCGCCCTGCGCCAACCCACTACCCGAGCATCTACTAATGAAGCTGTTACCGGTTCTAATTTTTAATGTTATTTTATGCAGAAAATTCCATAAGTAATTACAAATAAGGAAACCCACTCCATAATAGTCCAAAACATTAATTAAAATATAGTTATTAACATTGTTGTACGCACTGTCTATATCTAAAAACATCCCAATGCAGCACAACCCTCAGACAAACGGGTTTGAATAGAAGATATTAAGCAAGCCAGACCATCTAAACACGACTTATTTTTACGGAAACCTACTATATTATCAGAAAAAAACGTTTTGTTTCTCAACAAACCACTCCAGTCTTCTGAGAAAAATATAATGAAATATTTTGCAAATGCAAGATAATAAAGAAATAGGGCGGAAGGAAGCCACATTAGTTGGATCACAACCAGGCTTTGGAATAGGCACAATATAGATGTCGCGCCACTGAGATGGAACAAACCCATTATAAAAGAATTTATTAAACAATGTAAGCAACACCGACTTACCTACGTACATCAGGTAAATTATTAATCATTGAATATGATATATCATATCATCCAGGAGATGTATCCTTAGATTTAATACATTTATTTAATTCCTGGATAGAGATTTGACATTCTAATAAAGGGTTGCTATGTTTAACTGTAGGGGACATTGGGGACACATAATCTGGTGTGATAGAATATAGCACATTTGTGGCATTTAGAGAATGTACATAAGGTGAAGGAGATCGGCAACCTGTACACACACTAAGCATGCATATTTTATATTTAATTAGTAGGTATTATTACTCACTAAGATTTTTTATTAGATTTAATAATAATGCACTAATTACTGTTGTAAAAATAAATACAGCATCCCTGCTTTTAATTACTGTTCTAGAATTAGGTATTATGAAACGATACCCCTTGGTGTGGTCACAATTTCCAATGAAGATCATCTTTTGTGCCTTTGGGTCCCACTTCTTACGCTTCTCTTTGGGCAAATGGACCATCGCTTCACAACTAAATATACGCATATGGTCTACATTTGGTTTTTGACCAGACCACATTTCTTCAGGAGTTTTAAATGAGAGGGACTTAATCGGGGAACGATTAATTATATAGGCTGCAGTGTGTACTGCATCAGCCCAAAACATTTTGGAAAGTTTTGCATTTAGGAGCATACATTTTGCTCTTTCAATCAGTGAACACTGTTCATTCGCTCTGCTGTCCCGTTTTGCTCCGGTGAGTACGGCACCGTAGTTTGATGTATAATCCCGGCACTCTTCAGGTATTCAGAGAAACTCTTGTTGACATATTCCAAGCCATTATCGGTTCGAAGAATTTTGATATTAGTAATCAACTGGTTCTCAACTTCATTTTTAAATTCTTTGAATTTATTCAGAGCTTCAGACTTATTCCGGAGAAAGTAAACATACACTTTCTTTGAATAATCATCAAGGAATGTTATAAAATATTTGGCACCTCCTAGTGTTTGTGTTTCCATAGGCCCACAAATATCTGAGTGAACCAATTCAAGAAGACTACTAGACCTCGGGCCTTCCCTTTTGAAAGGTAATCTTGTCTGTTTACCTTGTGTGCATGTGACACATGTCAGATTTTCTGGGTTTTGTGAGAAAGTTACATAGTCAGTATTTTCTGTCATTTTCTTCAAACTGTGAAAGTTAAGGTGTCCCATTCGTTGGTGCCAGAGGTAAGTATCTTGTTCTTCAACATCAGACATGCATGCATGCATAACCTGCTCCTGGTGTATTCAGCCGGTACATGTTGTTGATAAGGACTCGCTGTTGCTACTTTCTGACCCCTGTTGTTCATAATAACACAGCCACTTCTGTCAAATTTTACTTGGCCACCACTGCTAATTATCTGACTGACAGAGAGTAAAT